GAGCTTTGCAGAGGTATTACAGCTCTCAATCATATATTTGAGTTATCTGGCAGGACAAATGGATGTGTCCTTGGCTTTCCCTGGTCCTTGAGTTTGTAGCCACTTCTCTGCTATTCTTCCCAGGCTCTCTACCATTCACCCATGCCCTCTTACCAACATTAATGTCCACTGGTCCCTGAGAGGGACCTCACCCTTCCTATGGCATGGTTTTTGCAATCTTGCTTTGGTATTTGCTTAGTGCCATTTCCTATACTTGGGATTCCTTTTATTTTCTTCCATGTCTCTGACTGGTATGTATCATTTGAAGTCAAGTTCAAGATCCATGTCTACCCTGCACTTTTCCCTAATATGCCATTGTCCACTGGTCTTCCTTATTTTAGACCTCATTCAATAGTGATTCACTCAATAGTTATTTGTTAGGCAGAGTGCTGGCCCGTTGTATTAGTTTGCTAGGGCTGCTATAACAATGTATCACAGGCTGGTTAGCTTATGAAACAAAAATTTATTTCCTCACAGTTCTAGAAGCTAGAAGTCTAAGATCAAGGTATTGGCAGGTTTTAATTCTTTTGGGGCCTCTCTTTGACTGGCAGATGGCCTCCTGTGTGCACACTTTCCTGGTATCTCTTTGTGTGTCCAATTTCCTTTTCTTATAAGGACACCAGGTGGATTGGATTAGGACCTATCCCAATGACCTTATTTTAAATTAATCACCTTAAAGGGCCTATCTCCAAATACAGTCACATTCTAAAATATGGGGGCTTAGGGCTTCAACATGTGAACTTGGGTGGGAGGACACAGTAAGTTAGCCCATAACACCAGTGGAGACATGACTGAAGAAGACATATGTGATCCTTGTCCTCTTGTTGTTTGACAGCCTGGGAGGGAAGACAAATATTAAACAGCCATTTATGTGAATAGGTCATTAATGACCATCATGGGATGGTCCAAGATGTAGGATGCAGTACTTGTCAAAGTAGTCTGGTGTCGGGGGACTGGTCAGGAAAGATCTCCCTGAGAACATGAGATCTTAAGGAAGGTGGGATGGGGGCTAGCCAAGTGAAGAGGGGGATGCCAGATAGTGGGAAAGAGCAAGACATATTCCAGGAACTGAAAGAAGCTCCTGTAACAAGGAGTGAGTGGTGGGAGAAGGCACCGGAAGGTCAGAAGGACCAGATTACACAGCACCTTATGTCCTTACACCCTCCCTTCAGCGCTTACTACATCCTGCCTTGGACTGTTTTTAAAAAATCTTTGGTGGAGGAGGGTTAGCATGCATGTTTTGTTTCCCCTTATGCCCCTTGCTGGAGGAGATCCTATTTGTATTCTCCTTTTGTATTTTCTCCCCACAGTACACAGCACAGGGCTAAGCATATAGTAGGTACTCAAGAAATAAAGTGGGTATAATGAGACATGAAATTAATAGAAGCACTCTCATTTGTCTAACTTTAGAGGCTGATGCGATCTTGGTGGGTATTTTTCCTAGAGGTGCTGAAAGGTGAGGACTTTTGGTAATATAATGCCACCTAGTGCTTCTTTTTATTACAACAACACAGGGGAGCAGGGTGATGACTAGTCTTTTGTCATCCAGAAAACTGGAAATCAAACATTTTGTTTCACCGGCATAAATTGATTTTTCCAACCGCTCATCCTTTCATTCATCTGTGCTGATGTCCACCTGCATCTCGTTCCTATGAAGTGAACATGTCACGTGCCTTTCCACCTCCTTGTGGTCCCCTGATTGTCCCAGCTCAGGTCTTTTGGCCCCCATATAAATATAATGAATGCTCTCAGATATCAGTGTCTAGATTCCCTGAGCTCCCATACTGCTTTCTGTTGACATGGCACTTACTAAATGACACCACCATATTGTGTTAGCATTAATTGTAGGTGTTCCTTTCTTTCTTTCCCCCAATGCAGATTATAAATGCAAAGGGCAGTAACTCTGCAGTGATAACCTAGGTGATTCGGTCAGCCTTGTGTCTACCATGTAGTAGGTACTTTACAAAAGGGTTTGCTGGATTGAATTGCTGTCACCTTGGCAGGTCACCTGATTGTGATCCTTTAGGAGATTCCTAGAAAATGGGAAGACACAAAGCCCCACAGTTGACACCAAAGCAAGATATAGGAGGCCAAGGCTCTCTAGGTCTTTCTGTTTGCTGCGTACCTTCAGGAGTATTATGGAGTCTCTCTTGTTCCTGGTGAGCCCACAACCTGATAGTCTCAATGTGCAATCAGGTTTTCCTGTAAACACACAAAGCAGCCTGAATTGTGCTGCCTGCCCCAACTCCAGCCCATTTCTAATTGCTTGGCTTGCAGTTTGATTCGGCCTACTTCTCCAGCTCATTTGTCAGTCCTGCAACCACCCCCATGCACATCACATTATGACTCAGCCACATTTCCCCCCTTTTGCCCACCAACTATACAATCTCAGATCATGGATGAGATGCCATTGTACATATGTCAATTTTCTCTGAATTAATTCATCAATCCAATGCTGTTCCAATTAAAATTTATCATGAGAAACTTGGTAAACTTACTCGAAAAATTATATGGAAGGATAAAGGTCCATGAATAGCCAAAGCAATTTTGACACATAAGAAGCAGGAATAGGGGACTTGCCCCTCAACCATGATAACTAACTACAAAGCCATAGTAATAAAACCTTGTGGTACTAGCACAGGAACAAACCAGAGGGCTCAGAGCATACCCATGTATATGTGGGAACTTTCCTAAACTAATTGGGAAGGAATAGACTGTTTATTAATAACATAGGGTGTTGGAAAATTTGCTCACTCCATGGGAAAAAATACAGGCAGATCCCTATCTCACACTACAAAAGTATATACAAAGGCGAACTACAGATGGATTAGATAATTGAAGGTAAGAAAGTAAAACTATGAAGCTCATAGAAGAAAATGATGGAAAATACTTTTATGACCTTGGGGAGTTGAAAAGGACTAAATCATACCAGAAAAGCAAATAAAAAGTTAAAGAAAAAGAAAAGAAAGAAAAAAAAGATAAAGGGCCACAGTATCAAAATTAAGTATTATTGTTTCATGAAGGACATAAAGGTAAAGTTTCCAGTCTTTGAAAGCTGATTAATGTTAGGACTTTACAGAAATATCTTGCAAATCAAAAACAGAAAGAAAAAGAAAAATAGAAATATAGGCTATGTCTCTTTCCTGTGTTAAATAATAAAAAAAAAAAAAGAAATATAGGCTATGAATAGGCAATTCACAGTAGGGAACCCCAAGTGGCCTGTGAATGCATGAAGAAATGCTCAATTTTACTAGTTGTTACAGAAGTGAAAATGAAAGCAAAAATGTACAGATACTACTTTCATCATATTGACAGAAATTAGAAAATTGGACAATTAGATGAGTCAGTATTTGTATTATAAAGCACTTAGAATAGTATCTGGTTCTTAGTAAACACTATATGAGTGTTTATGAATAAATAAACTAATACATGCTGGAAAGGATGGAAGTCTGGGACAAAAACCTTGTACAACACACTGGAGTGTAGTATAGAGCAGTAATTCTGGTACACAATCTTACAGTACAATACTTCCACAGAGTTTCCACTAGGCTATTAGGCATCTTTGTGCAGTTGGAAAACAGTGTTCACTCTGGGCAGATGAGTCTGAAAAAGGCATACCATCTAGATAGTCACAGCATTCTAGGTTCATGGCTTGGCTAGGGAACAGAGCTTTTGTGGGAATAAAAAGGACACATCTTCCTCCAGCAGGACACATAACATGGGAAAGGGAGTTGAGGTTGTTTTTCAGCCCTTATTGGCCCCTTGGCTGGAATCTTTGTGCAGGACACAGCTGCATAACCGAATGTGATGGCCTCATGCCTCCCCTATGACTTTAACAATCTCACTCCTTGGTGTATGTTTCAGAGGAATTTGCACACAGGTCCATAAGGGACCACAGACAAGGATGATCATGGCCCCATTGTTTGCAGTACTGGAGAGATGGAGGCAGCCTTGTTATCCACCAGTTGGGGAATGGGAGTAAAATGTGATAGATGCCCCATATGAAATGCTGTGCAGCAACCAGAAGCAATGAACTAGGATTTCCATACCATCTGCAACAAGGACAAATCTTTTAAAAGAATGTTGAGTGAAAAAAGTAGAAAAAAAGGTAATCTCTAAAGTCTAATGTCATTATTAAAATTAAAAAAAAATACCTGATAGAAATGCTATACATTTTTCAAAAATACATGTGGAAGCACAGTAGCCTGAAGTCCTAAGGAAGTGGAGGGGGAGGGGAGAGGGGAGACGGAGAGGGAGGAAATGGCATGATGAAGGGATGTGAACAGTGCAGAGGAGACAAGGGACAGCTGGAATAGGGGTGAGGGCACTATGGTGCTGAGAGAAGACGGGACCAGGGCTGGCGTCACTGGCGTGAGAACTATTCAGTTGCACAGGAGTGAGAGAGAGAGAAGAATTGATTTTGGGAGGGTAGCCCCAGGTGAACGGGAGCTTTTTGCGATGTGGCGCTACATAAATTTTTCCAAGGTGCCTTAACCTCTGCACCCTGTTCTTCTCATCCTTATGACTAAACCTTTTGAAGGCGGACCTGAGTCTTCTCTAACTTAGTTTTCCCTCCGTGTCTGGCGCACAGTGGCTGCTTTACAGGGTTAAAATGACCGGAACTGAGATTGTTCCTCGCTGTCACAGAGGGCAGAGGGTAGCTGCCGGTCCTGCTCTAATCCGGAACCCTCTGGTCCACATTTCCTTCTGGGCGTTCGTCCTTGGCTCCCCATCTCTGGTTCCCAGTGATCCCCCACCACCCTTTCTGGGTTGCCTCTCCCCAGAGACTCTTACCTTGGGACTCCGCCCAGCCTCCAGAGGCACCGCCCCCTTATCTCATTGGCCCCGCCCCATTGAGGATATATTTGCATATTTCTCTGGGGAGCACCGCCCAGGTGACCGCAGAAGCTCCTCCCGTTCGAATTTCTGCAAGCGCCCCTAGAGGGCGTGGCGGTTGCCAGGCGACAGGAGGACGCGCCGAGCGCCGGGTTTCGCCCGGGGCGGGCGGTAGAGACAGCGTGTCGCCGCTTTTGACGCTGGGAGTAGTGCACAGCCCCTTCCCCAGTCTCCGGCCCGGTTTCTGCGATCTCCATAGCAGCCTCTGAGGCCGCCCCCAGAGAGCGTCGGGATGGCGGAGGTCAGGAGTCAGCGCCCCTCTCTGTCGCCCCTCGCTTGACCCCTCCCCATTGTCCCTCTCCTACTGTCACATACACTGATTCCAATATTTCCTCCATCAGCATCCTAGCCCCACCTGCGCCTGCACTTCCCCACCTTTCTCCCCTTTCTCATTACCTTCTGTGCTTCCTTCAACTGGGTGGACACTCCCCGCCCCCACTATTTCACTGGCGCTGTGCTAAGCTCGGTAGGACATCTGTGAGTTCCCAAAGCCACACATGACATGCACCCACCCCTAGATTTTGAACAGTGAGGTGATACCATAAGAGGTTCACACTGAAATATTGGCCAGGTCTCACCTGAGTGGGGAAGCCTGGACAAAAGCTCCATAGATACCCACTGTCAGCCCTATTCACTGGCTCTTGTCCACCTATATCACACCTTGATTCCCTAATATGGTCACCTGCTGTCACACTCCTCATTAAGGCTGGTCAGCCCATCACCACTGCCCTGTGTGGTCACTGACCCCTGTGTGAACATGCTGTAGCCTCGCTTCACTCCCTCTTATAGTACACACCATCTTCAGCTGGCACAATAAGGGGTCATTTCTGCAACTCTTCAATGACCCCCTGATGTCCATTAGCCCCCTCATTTATAACCTTAACAGCCTTGGGTCCCTGTCATCACTTGCCATTCACAGTCCCTATCCCCTGTGGCCCTACCCAAATCCTTCATGGCCCCACTAAAGCCCTCCTCCCCTCCCCCATTCCAAGGTCAGTCCCAGCCAGGACCAGCCACATGATTTTTCAAGGCCTGGTGCAAAATGAAAACACAGAGCATCTTCAAAAATCATTAAGACAGGACAACAGAGCATTCAACCAAGGGTGGGGCCCTTCTGAGCAAGGGGCCTTGTGCAACTGAATAGGTCTCACATCCATGAGGCCAGTTCTAGTCCCATCTTCTCTCGGCACCATCGTGCCCCCACCCTTCTTCCAGCTGCTCCCTTGTCTCCTCTGCACCGTTCACATCCCATGATCATTCCGTTTCCTCCACTTCTACTGTCCCTTTATAAAGTCCATCTTCCTATGATCAGCAGTTCCTTCCTTTCCTTATCATAAAGTCCCTTTCAAATCCCTGGGCTCCATCACCCCATCTGTCTCTGACATCCATGTTGCTGTGGCCACATCTCTTCTCCTGTTACCCATGCTCATTCATATATCTTTTCTTCCCATTTTCTCCTCTTATGCCTTCTAGTTCTTTATTTTTTCTATTATTTGCTTTAGCGTGTTTCCTCCTCTTCTCCCCCATTAATCATCTTGATTTCATTCATTCTTCATTCTCCATATATAAGCCCCAGACACCAACACTATGGACTAATGATTTCCCAGTTTCCCTTTCCTTTTTTATCTCCTCTCATTTCTTCCTTTCTCCTACTTCTCTTCTCACTTGACCTCAGCCAACATTTCCTTGCTTCTGCTTTCACAATTCTCTATTTTCACTCTGGCCTCATCTTATACTGCAGCTCTCTTTTCCTTTTTTCTTTTCCTTCTCTCCACTAATTGGTATTCCCAGCACCTAAAACAGTGAGTGTCTGGCACATAGCAAACACTCAATGGATAGGTGATAGAATATAGCAGTGCCATAGTTCCTCTCTGATCAGTTCTTGTTCACACCATGCTTTCCACATAGATCCCATTATATACCATAACAGTGTAGATACTGTTTATTGGTCACAGCTAAGAGATTATTTTTGCTTTGCTTTCAATGCTAGTACACTGTTTAATGACAATACGAACAAATCTCTTTTGTTCATAAAAGTTTCTTTAAAACTTTTCTCTCTTTGGTGTTTTTCTCATTCCTGTACTAAGAGCCAGGTATACAGGGAAATCCTGGTCTGCAAACAAATCACTAGGCTGGTGATCAAGTGTTGACATTAATACCATTTACAGAGATGGAACTGAGAACATTGTTGTGATAAATGTTTGTGTGTGCTTATGTTTAGCATCAACAAGGGAGAAGCACAGAGCAGCAGCAGCACCATATTTCCTTAATGGGATTTTTTTCCTCCTTTGTGGGATTACTACTTTGTGGTCTTTCCAATAATCTGCTATTAGTAAGGAAGAAAAACCTCTGTTGAATTTAAAATTAGTACTAAAGTTGCTATACAAAATGTTATAGATATGCTTGTGACTCTGCATCTGTTTTGATCTCCAAAGATTGTGTTTTGCTTGCATGTCATCTTTAGAGATTTAATTAATAGTAGGTATGAGTGTTTTTGAAAAACAAAAATATGTAGACTTTCTCTGTATCGGGCAAGATAGGCTTGTCAAAACAGCAGGTAAAATAGACTACTTACTCAAATTCTTCAGGGTGAATTGGAATTTTACTTTATTATTGGGAATAGAGATTGTCTTAGTTGGTTTTTTTAAATTAGCAACAGAGTGTTCATGTCAAAGCCCTTTTTAGCGTAGAATATCAAAGCATAATATTGCAAACATAATTAAAGCTTTGCAGACCTTATCAGTCCTTTGCTCAAAAGTCTTGAGTGGTTCCCTGTGGCCTGCAGAATAATGCAGAATAATCCATACTCCCTAGAACACCATTCAGTCCCTCCACAGTCTGCCCCTAACTCCATGGCTAGTCTTCTCCTTCCAGCTCTCTTTCAAACCTCTTCAGCTGCCTTGGATGCTTGCGTCGTCCTGAGCCTTTGCCCAAGGTTTTCTATCTGCTGGGAATGCCCTTTTTCTTCATATTCACCTGTGAAAATTCCACTCTTCCTTCTGGGCCTACTCAAATGCCATTTCCTTTATGAAATTTGTTTTATTCTTGCTGCTGGGAGTCATTTTCTCTTCCTGTGTATTCTTACAGAACTTTGAGTTTATTTGGCAGGGACCAAATTCTATATTTTCATTACCTGCATACATACTCCAGCGGCAATTAAAGTATAAATTCCTTGTGGGTGGACTGTTATTCCTTATCTTGGTATCTTACTCCATCACAGAATTTACACATAGCAGGTGTTCAATAAATATTTGCTAAATGAATGAATAAATATATTAACCATGCCATTTCTTTTTTATCACTGTGTTTTACCTAACAAGAAGTAGGTGTATTTGTTTGCTAGAGCAGCTGTAACAAAATACTACAAACTGTGTGTCTTAAAACAGCAGAAATTGGCCGGGCGCGGTGGCTCACGCCTGTAATCCTAGCACTCTGGGAGGCCGAGGCGGGCGGATTGCTCGAGGTTGGGAGTTCGAAACCATCCTGAGCGAGACCCCGTCTCTACTAAAAATAGAAAGAAATTAATTGACCAACTAAAAATATATATATATACAAAAAATTAGCCGGGCATGGTGGCGCATGCCTGTAGTCCCAGCTACTTGGGAGGCTGAGGCAGGAGGATCGCTTGAGCCCAGGAGTTTGAGGTTGCTGTGAGCTAGGCTGATGCCACGGCACTCACTCTAGCCTGGACAACAAAGCGAGACTCTGTCTCAAAAAAAAAAAAAAAAAAAAAGCTGTCAAAATTCATTGAGTACCTACTCTTTGCTGGGCACCTGGCTAAATGTTTAACCTTAATGATCCCATTTAATCTAATCCTTAGCAACATCATGTGGAAGAAATACTATTACCTTAATGCATATATATTCTGAATATAATATATCCCAGTGCATATATATCTAATACATATGTAATGTGTATGAATATATATATACATAATGTATGTATGTACATATATATTATATATATATGAAGAATGCATCAGGGGTTGAAGATGGACTCTTCCCACCATATAGCTTAATTATTCTGCCTCTCAGTGGCTTTTATTTTGCTTGTATGAAGGCCTTTTGTTCAGGGATAATAGCAGTAACTCCTTGATAGTAACGGCGTGAATGTTGCAGTGCCCATTCCCATCCCTGCTCTTTTACACAGGAAAAAAATGAAAAGCTAGTGATGGAAGAAACTGCATTTGAAGAAATTGAAAAGGATTTTCATGAGGTTCTCAGTGAACTATCAGGAGACAAAAGTCTGGAAAAATTTAGGGTTGAATATGAGAAGCTTCATGCCATCATGAAAAAGTCTTATGACAATGAAAAGCGTCTGATGGCCAAATGCAGAGAGCTAAATGCAGAGATCGTGGTCAATTCCGCGAAGGTCGCCACTGCCCTGAAGCTCTCTCAGGATGATCAGACAACCATCGCATCCCTGAAGAAGGTCAGTGATCTTCTAGAAATGGAACAAACCTGAATTTAAAGCAGCATTCTTTCATTATATTGACAGCTCTAGGCTGATAGTAAATGAGTTATTAGGTAAAAATGTACGACCTGTATATTCACTAAGCCTAAGGAATACTGTTCATTTAGAAAAAATAATTGGCCTAGGTGATTTACACCATGCAGAAAATAATTACACCATGCAGAAAAGAAACCAAACCTTACTGGTTTGGTTTCTGGGATGGCAAAAAGACTTAGAGGTAAGTAAATACACTTTTAGGGATCTCAACATGTCTGGTTTGATTTGATGCAAAATGAGTAATTAAATATCTCATGATGATAGCTTATTAAAGATATTTTCATACTTCTAGTTTTCCCCCTGTTTTGGGAGAGATTGCCTTGAGAATTCCTAGATAGTAATTTTCATGACCTTTCTACCTGACACCTGTGTGCTTCCTACCTGATCCTCCTAATTTCTCAAATAGGAGACCAGGGATTCAGCCTGTGGGGACATTGAGGAAGCATGGCTTTGTTTTGCATTGTATTGTTTCATTCTCAAGTGTGTTGCATTGGTTTGAAGTTAAAAACAAATATTCTTTGTTGATCTCAGGGTGATAAGATGTTGAAACATATTAATTAAAACTTTATAATTAATCTATAGTTAAAGTCCTAGTCATGAGAAATAATTTATAAACTTTTTAGATAATTCCCTTGATATCATGCATTCAGATGTCACCCAATTCAAATTAATTTTCATGACCAGTACAAAATATGGCTTATCTGTTTTCTTAGAAACTACTCTTTTTTTTGTGTCATTTTTTTCTCTATTGTCATTTTCTTCTTCTAGTTGCTGAAAAACCAACATAAGAAGGCTTTAGTTCATTTTATGATGGGAAAAAACACTGTTTTAAATTTAAAAACTGTAAATAGAAGTCATGAATTGATTAAAATATAATTGGTGAAATTGATTTAGATAAAACTTTATGTAATCGCATTTTAATTTGAATATCCTTCATTGTTTTGTCAAAAATAGTACATACGGTTGATATATAAGAACATATCCCACAAATTCATATTCCGTTTTGAATCACTAAATTATGTGCTGTTGTTACCCAAGAGTAATCTCTTTGTCTCATGTAATAGTGAGCATTAATTTATTAAATTAAGTATACTCTTTTTACCAATTTTATATTCCTTGTCAACGTTCAAAGTGGAGTATTTTCACCTAATGCTTATAGGTTCTTATCTGTATAAACCCACATTACAGTTGACAAAATTTTGCAAGAATGTTAAGTGGTGGGCTGAAACTCAAGGCTATTGCAACTCTTAACTGTGTTACTTGAATGGCTGTGATTCACTTTAAGTATTTATGTTAATATTCTATATCACATTTCATAACAGTAAGGAAGCCAAAGCTGCATGAGTCATTGTTTCCATTCCCTGCTACAGATTTTGTTTTTCCCCTATAAGCATTTGATGAGAAGGCCTGGGTTTGGGTTTCTGAAAATGGGAATTACCAAGGTTATTGTGCACAATTAGGTAACAGGGGAGAACAGGATGGCTGTGGATTGTTCTAGAGCTCACATTGTTATCCAGGAGCTCACTTGGGACCTGAGGACAAATACCTTTTTTATTTGCAAATCTATCAGGAGGTTCAATTCAATCTATCAATTTAGGGCTTGGGTCTCTGATCATTCCTTATATGATAAAACTTATTTTAAAAAAATATCTGGACTTGGAAAGCACATAAACTTTTATTTTTAATTTTGCAAACCTTGTAACTAACTATGTGAACTTTGTGGCCACACTCACCTACACAAGAAAAAAGCACACTTTACCAATCCCGCTCCTTAAATGGACTGTTCACTATTGACTAGCTCACGTTGAACAATTCAATAAGTCAATACGCATATATGCATAATGTATAATGTATAGTATATCATATTCTCTCCCCATAAATTGCTACTACACTATAGTCACAGTGTTATTCTACTTGCTAGTTTACCTTGCATCTGGAACCAAGTTTGGTTTTTCTCACTGATATCCCATGGCCCATCCAGGAAATTGAAAAGGCCTGGAAGATGGTGGACGCAGCCTATGATAAGGAGCAGAAGGCGAAGGAGACGATTCTTGCCCTGAAAGAGGAAATAGTGAACCTGACCAAGCTAGTCGAGCAGGGGTCTGGACTGTCACTGGACCAGGATAGCAAGTAGGTCATAGACTTCCTGATGCATGTTGAACTTGTCTCTGCAGAGGCTTTCAGCAGACAGCCTGGGGCTTGCCAGTGTCTTCATGAACGTTCTCTGTGATACAAAACTCTTCTTTCTTCAGTTCCCAGAGGTTGCCTTCTGTCTATTGCTATATTCTTTAATATTTCCTTTCTCCACACCCAAGAACTTCTAATCTGTGGTTATGTTAAACTTCTGGCTTTATAGGCATCAGTGTTATAGTTTCAAAATAAGTACATATTTCAGGTTTACTTCTCTCAAACTTGTGTAGAATGGAACTGGCTGCCCCTCTGCCCAGAGTTCCAGCCCCCCCAAGATTAGTCTCAACACCACTCCCCTGCCCCCCATTCTAGGCCCGAAAACAGAGCAGCTTTTCAACCCTGCCGCTCCATCTTTAAAGCTCTGTCTGTTGACTCAGTCTTCTAAGCATCACCTTTCCCTCCTTCCTGTCTCCAGTGCTACCGTCTTGGTTCATTCCCTGTGTTTTCTACTGGTTTTGGCAGTGGCCTCCTAACTGGTCTCCCTGCCTGCAGGAGTCATCTCCCACTTTATTCTTTCATTGCTACCAGATCCATGTTTCTGAAACACATATGCACTTATCCCTAGCATTAACACTTTTCATTTCTACCCATACCCAAAGGATAAAGCCCAGACTTTGAGTATGTTGGTCAGAGACCTTCATGAAACTGCCCCAGTCAGCCTCTCTAGTCTTATGTCCAGCCCACCATGTTGCCCAATACTTTCATACTTTTGCACGTGCTGCCTCTATGCTCGCAATGCCTTTTGTTTTATACTCTTGGTGGTCAGCTCCTATCCATCCTTTAAGACCTATCTCAAACACCATCTTACTTTCATCACCATCAGCAGCAGTTTTCTAACCTCTTCTCCACGTCTAGACTCCAATGGCCAGGCAGAAAAATCGCTGCATTCTCTGTTTCCGTTGGACCTGACACTTAACCTCTAGTGTGGCACTGATCATATTGTGTAATATTAAAATTATTTGTGGATGTGCTTCTCTACTTATTAGGCTGTGAATGCCCCAAGAAAGACACCTTAATATCACTTCCAGGAGTTTAGCCCTGGGCAGGGCATGCAAAACATCACATCAATTAAGAATCAGGAGTGAGCACACACTTCTTGGGCATCCTTAACCAAATCTAATGTTGCTCTCTTGTTTTCTTATGCTTTTTTGATGCACCGATCCAACATTGACAGATAGTCCTAAGTACCAGAGTTGTGGGGAGGGACTAGGAAAAACAAACAGAAAATGTGATCCCTATAGTGATGGATTCTATCTTCTTATGGAGGAAGTCCAGCATATTTAGAGCAACTGCTAAAGAGCAATGTGAGGGAACTGATTCAGATAGGGCGTGTTTGTAATGAGCATTGGAGGAAGGTGAAGAGGGGGACTGAAGAAGTTCTCCAGCCCATAATTTTACCTTTAACAACGTGCCCAGGTGTAAGCTGTCTGTCTTCATTGTAATCTTAGAATTTGAGGTTTTTGTTTCTGGAGAAGAGCTTGAGTGCTGGTTTGAAGATTCCTCATTAAACCTTATATAAACATTTATGTTACATCAGAGGTTTTGGTAAATAAAGTTTGTCAGATTACTGTTTTGAGCAGTTTGAGAGCTGTCAGCTGCAAGGGTCTGCAGTGCGAGTTCTCCTCTGCTCTCTCTGCTCTAAGAGCTGTCTTGCTCTTAGACTCATCGGCCGCAGCGGTTGTATCAGACACAGAGTGCCCACTCGCAAAGTGCCAATTCTGCAGAAAGTCATGCCAAATCATATAGAATGGCTTTTGAAATTCAGAGGTAACTGGTTTACAATTCAAATCAATGAATATTATCATACACTCTCCAAAAACAGGCATCATGAGTGATTTTCCAAATTTTGTTCTTGGGAACGTTTTATCTGGGCTGCATCCCTTTGGGAGAAACTAATCTCTTTGGGTAAATTGAGAGAAAATTGGCAATGCATATCATTTGCTTATGTTTATGCTTCAATCTGCACTTCATAGCTGTGATCATAGACCTCCAGTGGAGTGGATATATTAAACAATTTTTAAATCAGCATATCTTTAGGATTAATTACAAGAGTTTACAATAACAATATAGTCTTATTGTAAGAATTTCAAATAATACAGAAGTGTGGAAACTATCATCTCTTCTCCCAACTTTCCACCCTAAATTTCTCAGAGATAATCGGTGACCTCACTGGTATCTATTTTTCTGGGATTCTATAAAAATGTCTATAAAACACACACACATACACACACATGAATAGACACTGTATTTTCTTAAAAGTAAAAAAAAAAAAAACTATCATACTATGCATATTATTATTGGCATTTCCTTTCAGTTAACAGCTTACAAACAGCTCCCATGTCAGGGCATCAAGATCTTCCTCTTTAAGGCCTCAATTGTGTTAATCGTTGCCCTGAAGTCTTTCCCATGAAAATGGGCTTGGAGAATGATATGAAGGACCCCTGAGCAGATGGCCATTTAGTCCGACTCCTGTGTTCTTCTTTCTTAGTATCCGAGATTTACTGAAGTACAAAGATGAAGTGACAAAAGAGAGAGACCAGCTCTTGTCAGAAGTGGTGAAATTACGAGAGGCCTTAGCTCAGATCACAGAACAGCAGCAAGAAACGGAGCGATTAAAAGAAGAGGCTGAGCAGACCATAAGTCAGGTCAGCTCCACGACAAAGGGCAAGTGAAAGAATATTTCCTTCCAGAGGATGTTCGTCCTGCCCCAGTCTCTTTCCGTCTCGTTCCTGTCTCATATTTACCCTCTTGTGTCCAGATGAAGCATCCTTGGTTCTGCTTGTTTCTCTGGTTTGTTCTCTCTCCAGAAGCATTCTCTGTCTGAGAATGTCACTAAGTTAGGGACTCTCTGCTTACAACTCTGGCTCGAGAACTTGTCCCCTTCGAAGGCCAGGGGCCCAGTATCTGGGGATGGTAGAAGTAGTTCCTCTGGCCCTTCTCCTTTATAAGAAAGCCATCTAACTGAATCCTTCTGTGCAGTTCCCAAGAGAAAAACACGAGGCTTCTCTGAACATGAGATAAGAAAAAGGCTTTTCATAGAATTTAGACATCAAGGTATACCTATAGTGTTCGGTTTAGCAACATCCAGGATCATGCAAAACACAATTTACTAATTAGGGTAGCCAGCTGCATTTTATTTAGTTCCCATTGATGGAGAACAGGATGAATCCTTTCTGGGTTTAATGTCCCTAGAACTCTGAGCGTCCATACTTAGTTGATGGGTTATACTACCCATTGTGGATTTGTTCCCCACCATCAGGGTGGACTTTTGGTGTCAAGGCCCTGAAAAACAATACAGAATATTTCTGAAAAGTTCGAACAATGGGGCTCAAGGATGTCTGTCTGACAGAGGAAATGCTACTCTGAAGTGACCGCCCTGAGAATGACAGGCCTGGGAGAGGGAGAATTTGCCTGGCTGTGAGCTGCCATGGCAAGGGGTCACATTTTTCTTCCCTGTCCTTTTTGCACCCTGTAGTATGAACAAGAAATCCAGCAACGTCAGAATGAAGCTTCGCGGGAGTCTCGGAAGAAGGAAAAGATAGAGAAAGAGCTCAAACAGATTCAGGTGGACATGGACAGCAAGCAGGCAGAGATGAAGGCCCTGCAGCAGTACATGCACAAGAGCAAGGAGGAGCTTCAGAGGCTGGAGCAGCAGCTGAAGGAGCAGAAGGTGAGTCAGGTGTGGGTTATACTGGGCGCCATTGCAGAAAAACTGAGAAAAACCAAGAATGGCACCTTTGTTCATGGCCCACTTGCACATTTTGCATTTTCTTGGAAAGCAGCAAACTCTCTTCACCACTGATGTTGGTTACATAACACTGCAATTTGGTCTTTGAGCAGCTCTTTTAAGGCAGTTATGCCCTCCCTTTTCCCCCAGCTCCAACAGGTTAATTAATTTCTTTTTAACCTTTTATTGCTTTAGTAATATACACAGAGAAAAGTGTATGTGGCACAAGTGTGCAGCTTGATGAATTTTCACCACTCAAACACATCTTGGCCATCTGTACCCAGCCTGAGACATAGAACATTGCCAGCCCCCAAGAAGCCCCTATCACACCTCCCATTCATCCTTCTCCCCAAAGGCCACCTGTATCCTGAATTCTAAGCAGAGATTAGTTTTGCCTGTTTTTGTACTTTAAAGAAATGAAATATTACAGGATTTACTCTTTCTGTCTAGCTTCTACTACATTCTGTTTGTGAGATTCAGTTATGTTGTTGCCATGTAGTTATAGACCCTTGATGTCCAATATGGCAGCCACTATCTGCATGTGGCTATTTAAATCCACTGATAGAATATTAGCAGAGATAGGGAACATTTACATCATTGCAGAAAGTTCTGTTGGACAGAGCTCAGTAGACCATTCACTCTCATTGCTGTAGTATATTCCATTGGATGAGGATAACATAATTTATTTATTTATTTATTTATTTATTTTTTTGAGACAGAGTCTCGCTTTCTTGCCTAGGCTAGAGTGAGTGCCGTGGCGTCAGCCTAGCTCACAGCAACCTCAAACTCCTGGGCTCAAGTGATCCTCCTGCCTCACTCAAATTCATTTGAGTACTACTCTTTGCTGGGCCTGGCTAAATGTTAACCTTAATGATCCATTTAATCTAATCCTTAGCAAATCATGTGAAGAATACTATTACCTTAATGGCATATATTTTGAATATAATGTATTCCCAGTGCATATATATCTATACATATGTAATGGTGGTATGATTAAATAGTTATAACAATTGATGTATGTTATGTATACTATATGATTCAGTATACTATGAATTGACATGCATCCAGGGGTGAAGATGGACTCTTCCACCACTTAGCTTAATTATTCTGCTCTCCGAGGTGGCTTTTTATTTGGCTGTATGAAGGCTTTTAGTCTCAGGATGATATAGCACGTAAGCTCCTTTGATAGTAACGGTGTGAATGTTGGCAGTGCCCATTCCCATCCCTGCTCTTATTCCAGGAAAACAATGAAACGTCAGGTGATGGAAGACAACTGCATTTGGAAGAATTGGAAAAGCGTTTTCGATGAGGTTCGTCAGTGAACTACAGGAGACAAAGTCTGGAAAATTTGGGTTGATATGAAGAGTTCATGCCATCATGAAAATGTCTTGCGACAATGAAAGCGTCTGATGCCAATGCCAGAGCTAAATGCAGAGATCGGTGGTCAATTCCGCGAGGTCGCCCACTGCCCTGCAAAGCTCTCTCAGGATGATCGAGAACCATCGCATCCTGAAGAAAGGTCAGTGATCTTCCTTAAATGGAACAAACCTGGAATTTAAAGCCGATGCTTCTTATAATTGGCAGCTTAGGCTGTAGTATAATGTTTAGGTAAAATGTACGGACCTGTATATCTCACCTAAGGCTAAGGAATACTGTTCATTTAGAAAAATTATTAGCTAGGTGATTTACACCATGCAGAAAATAATTACACCATGCAGGAAAGAAACACCCTTAACTGTGGTTGGTTTCTGGCGGATGGCAAAAAGACTTAGAGGTAAGTAATACACTTTTAGGGATTCACATGTTGGTTTGATTTTGATGCAAAATGCAGTAATTAATATCTCATGATGTGTCTTAATTAAATAGATCATTTCTACTTCTCAGTTTTGCACCCTGTTTTGGGAAGAGATTGCCTTGAGACTTCCTAGATAGTAACTCTTTCATGACCTCTTCTACTGGACACTGTGCTGCTTCTCACCTGATCCCTCCTAATTGGCTCAATAGGAGACAGGTTCAGCCTGTGGGACATTGAGGAAGCATGGCTTCGTGTTTTCGCATGTATGTGTTTCCATTCTCAAGTGTGTTGCATTGGTTTGAAGTTCAAAAACAAATATTCTGTTGATCTCAGGCGGTGATTAAGATGTGAAAATATTAATTAAAACTTTATAATTAATCTATAGTAAAGTCCTAGCATGAGAAATATTATAAAACGTTTTGTAGATGATTCCCTGATATCATTGCACATTCAGATGTCCACCCAAATTCAAATTAATTTTCATGACCGTACAAATATGGCTTATCCTGTTTCTTAGAAACTACTCTTTGTGTTCATTTTTTTCTCTGTTCATTTCTTCTCTAGTTGCTGAAAAACCAACATAGAACGAGTTTATTCATTGTATGATGGGGAAAAAACACTGTTTAAATTTAAAACTGTATAAGAAGTCCGATGAATTGTGTTAAAGAGTGATAATTGGAAATTCATTAGATAACTTATGTAAATCGCTATTAATTGAATATCCTTCCATTGTGTTTTGTCAAAATATGATACATAACTGTGCTTGATATATAGAACTAATCCACAATTCTTTCTGCGTGAATCACTAAGATTATGTGCTGTGTTACCCAAGAGTAATTCTTGTTCATGTAATAGTAGAGCATTAATTTATTTAAATTAAGCTATACCTTGTTACCAATTTTATATCCTTGGTCAACGTTAAAAGTGGAGTATTTTCAACTAATGCTTATAGGTTTCTTAATCTGTATAAAACCAATTACAGCTTGACAAAATTTTGCAAATGTTAAGTGGGGCGCTGAAAATCAAGGCTGTTGCAACTCTTAACTGTCTTTACTGAGATGGCCTGTGATTCACTTTAAGTATTTATGCTTAATTATCTAATCAATGTTCATAGACAGTTAAGGAAGCCAAAGCTGCGATGAGTCAGTTGTTTCCCATTCCCTGCTTACCAGATTTGTTTTTCCCTATAAGCATATTGATGACGAAGCCTGGGTTTGGGTTTTCTGAAATGGGAATTTCCAAGGTTATTGTTGACAATTAGGTAAACAGGGAAAACGAGATGGCTGTGAGTTGTCTAGAGCCTCACATTGTTATCCCAGGAGCTTCACTTGGACCTGAAGGACGAAATACCTTTTTTATTTGCAAATCTATTCAGGAGTCAATTCATATCTTCATTTCAGGGCTTGGTCTCTGATTCATTCGTATATGATAAAACTTACTTAAATAAAAATATATCTGGCTGGAAAAGCACATAAACTTTTATTTTTGAATTTTGCAACCTTGTACTTTGCTGCAACTTTGTGGCCACACTCACCTACACAAGAAAAAAGCACACTTTACCAATCCCCTCCTTAAATGGACTGTTCAACTATTGACTAGCTCACGTTGAACAACTTCAATAGGTCATACGCATATATGCATAATGTATAATGTTCAGTATGCAATTCGCTTCCCATAATATTGTACTACGGGACTTGATGTCACAGGTGTCTACTTGCTAGTTCTACCTTGCCTCTGCGAACCAATGTTGGTTTTTCTCGACTGAGTATCCCATGGCCCATCCAGGAAAATTGAAAAGTGCCTGGAAGGATGGTGGACGCAGCTATTGGATAAGGAGCAGAAGGCGAAGGACGATCTTGCCCTGAAAGAGGAAATAGTAACGCTGACAAGCTAAGTCGAGCCAGGGTCTGGACTGTCATGACCAGGGATCAGCAAGTAGCGTCCATAGCGCTCCTGATGCATGTTGAACTTGTCTCTCGCAAGAGCCTTTCGCAACAGCCTGGGGGTTGCCAGGTGTCTTCCGATGAACGTCTCTGTGATACAAAACTCTTCTTTCTTCAGTTCCAGAGGTTGCCTTCTGTCTATGTATATTCTTTATATTTCCTTTCTCCACACCCAAGAACTTCTAATCTGTGGTTATATTAAACTTTGGCTTATAGGCATCAGTTTATAGTTTCAAAATAGTACATATTTCAGTTTACTTCTCTCAAACTTGTGTTAGAATGGAACTGGCTGCCTCTCTGCCCAGAGTCCCAGCCCCCAAGATTAGTCACAACACCACTCCCCTGCCCCCATTCTAGCCCGAAACAGAGCAGCTCTTCAACCCTGCCGCTCCATCTTTAAAGCTCTGTCTGTTATCAGTCTTCTAAGCATCACCTTTCCCCTCCTTCTGTCTCCAGTGCTACCGTCTTGGTTCATTCCACTGGTTTTCTACTGGTTTTGGCAGTGGCCTCCTAACTGGTCTCCCTGCCTGCAGGAGTCATCCCCACTTTTTCTATCATTGCTACCAGATCCATGTTTCTGAAACACATATGCACTTATCCCTAGCATTAACACTTTTCAGTTGCTACGCTACCAAAGGATAAAGCCCAGACTTTGAGTATGTTGGTCAGAGACCTTCATGAACTGCCCACAGTCAGCTCTCTAGTCTTAATGTCCAGCCACCATGTTGCCCAATACTTTTCATACTTTTGGCACGTGCTGGCCTCTATGCTCGCAATGCCTTTGTTTATACTCCTGGTGGTCAGCTCCTATCCATCCTTAAGACCTATCTCAAAACCATCTTACTTCATCACCATCAGCAGCAGTTTTCTAACCCGTCTTCTCACGTCTAGACCCCAATGGCCAGGCAGAAAATCCTGCATTCTCTGTTCCGTTTGACCTGACACTTACCTCTAGTGTGGCACTGATCATATTGTGTAATATTAAATTATTGTGGATGTGCTTCTCTACTTATTAGGCTGTGAATGCCCCAAGCAAGAACCTTAATATCACTTCCAGGAGTTAGTGAGCGCAGGCAGCATGCAAACATCACATCAATTAAGAATCAGGAGTGAGCACACACTTCTTGGCATCCTTAACATCTTAATGTTGTTCTCTGTGTTTCTTATGCTTTGATGCACTGATCCAACATTGACAGATAGTCTCAAGTACCAGAGGTGGTGGAGACTAAGAAAACAACAGAAATGGATCCGCATATGATGGATTCTATTCTTATGAGGAACCAGTTTAGAGCAACTCCTGAAGCAATGTGGAAGACTGATTCAGAGTGAGTTGATGGAGCATTGGAGGAAGGTGAGAGACTGAAGAAGTTCTCAGCCCATAATTTACCTTTCAACGCCATGTAAGCTTGTGTTCATGTAATCTTAGAATTTGAGGTTTTGTTCTGGAGAAGAGCTTGAGTGTGGTTTGAAGATTCCTCATTAAACCTTATATAACATTTATGTACATCAAAGGTTTGGTAATAAAGTTTGTCAGATTACTTTTTGAGCAGTTTGAGAGCTGTCAGCTGCAAGGTCTGCAGTGCGAGTTCCTCGCTTGTCTCTCTGCTCTAAAGCTGTCTTGCTCTAAGACTCATCGGCCGCAGCAGGTTGTATCAGACACAGAGTGCCCACTCGCAAAGTGCCAATTCTGGCAGAAAGTCATGCCAAATCATATAGAATGGCTTTTGAAATTCAGAGGTAACTGGTTACAATTCAAATCAATGAATATTATTCATACACTCTCCAAAACAGGGCATCATGAGTGATTTTCCAAATTTGTTCTTGGAACGTTTATCTGGCTGCATCCCTTGGAGAAACTAATCTCTTGGTAAATTGAGAGAAAATTGGCAATGCATACATTTGCGTGTATGTTTATGCTTCAATCTGCGCCTTCATAGCTGTTGATCATAGACCTCAGTGGAGTGGATATATTAAAGCAGATGTGTGAAGATCAGCATAGTCTTTAGGATTAATTACGAAATTTATTGTTTCATGGTTCTGGAGGCTAGAAGCCCAAAACCAAGGTGGTGGCAGGGTCATGCTCTCTCTGAGAGTCTGAGTGTGATTCTTCCTTGCCTCTTCCTTAGCTTCTGAGAGTGGCTGCCAATCCTTAGCTTTCCTTGGATTGCAGCTGCATCAGTCCAATCTCTGCCTCCATTTTCATGTTCTCCCTGTGTGTGTATCTATCTGTGTCCAGAATTTTCCTTTTTGTAAGGACACCAATCATATTGGATTAGGTCCCACCTTACTCTAGTCTGACCTCATCTTAATTGATTATATGCACAATGACTCTATTTCCAAATGAAGTGAGATTCACAGGGTTAGGACTTCAGCATACCTTTCTGGGGGACACAGTTCAACCCCTAGCTATGAGGAGTAAATTAAACTCCCTATATGACTAACTCCTGGATTCTCATCTAAGCCATAGCCAGATTTGCTTGAATTACATCTATATGTTTGGGATTATATTTTTAAATAATTTGTTGCCCAGTTAATCATGGAAAGCAAATGCTTTAGAAAAGGCCCATAGGCACTGCATAGGGGCATTTCAGTAGACTGATGGGGATGACCTAGCCTGATTTTTTTAAGGGATAAAAATGATGGAATCTCTTTTGGGGGAAACATTTCATCTTTCAGGTGGGTTTCACTGTGAGTATATGCGATTTCATGATATCTATGCCAATATCTCCCTTTGTCCGACCTAAATATGCCATGGCTCCCGTCTGCAGTCCTGGGGGTAAGGAGCAGGACTCAATGAAAAGAGATCAGGGTTTGGAATAATCATAAAAGCTGGCCGGGCGCTGTGGCTCACGCCTGTAATCCTAGCTCTTGGGAGGCCGAGGCGGGCGGATTGCTCAAGGTCAGGAGTTCAAAACCAGCCTGAGCAAGAGCGAGACCCCGTCTCTAGTATAAATAGAAAAAAATTAATTGGCCAACTGATATATATATAAAAAATTAGCCGGGCATGGTGGCGCATGCCTGTAGTCCCAGCTACCC